TGAAGGATCTTATCGCGGGCATGACGTGATACGGTACCTATCGAACAGCTGAGAGCAAAAGAGTTAGTCATTCTATTGCTTGCGCTGCGCGGAGTACATCGCTCCCCCCGCCAATATAGGAGTCCGGTCTCGGTAACTTCCTATTCCTTCACGCTCAACCTTTTTCGGTTGACTGCTAAGTATAATACTTGGCAGAAACTAATTTGTAGACATTTCTCCTGTGTGGCAACTGTTGTTAATTGTTGTCTTTCTTTGTTGACTGTCAATAAAAGTCATTGAAAGTCAGAGCGCACAGAAGGACGGTGTTGCAGAAATTGAGCTCTCCGCACATACACGTCACAAATGATAGTCGATCGTGGATGGAAACTAAGCTGTTTCTTCGGAACTCCTCCCAAAATTCATTGAGTAACAGAGTACTACTGTGTAGATTCATCATTATTATCAACGTACTATCAAGTGTAACAAATCAAATTGGAAGATTTGTGCATGCAAATGTAACTCATTCAAGTTGTACGAGATTGCTATTGATCTTTATTATCAAAAGCTAGCATTTTGGCGTCTTCGCCTTCCTGAGAGCTTGCAAAAATCAAAAACATCTTTGACCAGTCGTTCTGAAGGCACAGATAAAGACAAATCAGACAAGGCCAACCAGCAAAACCAACAAAGTAGAACTTAACCTACCTTGAGCAACTTAAGCAAGTTCTAGTTCTAACTAAAGCGGAATGGTCGTCAGCTCAAGTTACTTTTGCTTGAATTCGCTGGTTGGTCCTTTGATTGATTTATCTCTATCTCTAATGAAGGTTTGGAACGACTGGTCATGGGTATTTCTAGATTTCTGTAGGCTCAGACGAAGGCGAAGGCTCCGAAACGTTGGCCTTTGTTAATAAAGATTAATACCAATCTTGGACGATATATTTGTATGGAATAACTATGCCGAGGTAAAACAATGGCCGATCATGGACGATTCTACGGTTTGTGCATATTTCACGGCCATCATCTCTCCATCAATAAAAAGGAGAAGCTGCGTGTTTCGTTAACCTTTTCAACCGTTCACATCGAAAGATGAAGAACAAGGAGTGAAGCGGATCACAGATGCACTAGAAATATTTCTTTCAATGGACTTCAACACGCTGCATACCGCATTGCATAATTTACGCCACCAAGCGGAAGATCTTCATCGGGCGACGTCATTTGAATGGACCGGACTTGCAGAAAAACAGCACGCTGCAAGGAACTACTTTGTACTCAGGAACGGAAGAGCATTTCGATCATCAACAGGACGGAGGACTGATGAGATGAGGCACGGGACTTTAGCCGGACGACTTCATTTACGCTCACAGCGCGAACGCGCTCCTTCTCCGATCCCTATCGAAGCGTCAGGCGGAGTCTCTTCTCGCACCCCACTCGAAATGTCATGTGGAAATTTCATGTGAAAAGGTAATAGTCTTCGGCGTACCGTTCAACACCTCTACAACGTTTTCTTCAACCTCATAAATGAATATCACCTACCAATTTCA